TATTTTTATTTTTTTTTTATCCAAGAACTTTTACTGGCAAATGATCAGAATAAAGTGCCAGTTTCTGGTTTGTCCCTGAAATGTGAAATAACATTTTGTCCTTACAAATCTCTCAGGATGGAGATGAGAAAGTGGACTGGCAGAGAGCCCTTTTCCATCAAAAATTACATTTTTGGAGGGAAAAAGCATCATGAGCAGCCGGAGCTGTGGTGACTCTGTGAGCAGGATCAGACCCAGCATCGCTGCCTTGCCACAGGTGTGAGCGGTTGAGGGACCACTCTGCAGGACCACAGCCACCGTGTCCCCCGCTCCCTGAGGGATGTCCACCTACCAAGACACCTCGGGCAGCACTGCTGGGGGTCCGTGACGGGGTTGGCACATTGCAGGGCTGGGCACTGGATCCGGTAGCACCTGATGTTGGTGTTCTGGGGAGAGACAAAGATTTAAGCCCATTTAAGCCCACAGGGAGCATTCGGTTCATGTTCACCCCTGCAAGAGGAGGGAGATGTTGAGCAGTGGCCACGTTATCGCAACAAACGGTGTCCAAACCCAGCCAGCTCACGGTGCCTCATCAGCAAAGACCACTCATGGTCCAAGAGTAGCCCTGAGCCACCTCCACTCACAGCCCACCAACTCTACTGAGACAGAACCATGGAATCACAGACTGGTTTGGTTTAGGAGGGACCTCAAAGATCATCCTGTTCCATCCCCTGCCATGGGCAGGGACATCTTCCACTAGACCAGGTTGCTCCAAGCCCCGTCCAAGCTGGCCTTGAACACTTCCAGGGCTGGGGCAGCCACAGCTACTCTGGGCAACCTGTGCTAGTGCCTCACCACCCTCACAGGGATGAATTTCTTCCTAAAATCTAATCTAAATCTCCCTTCTTCTGGTTTAAAACCATTCCCTTAGTCCTATTACTATCTGTCCATGTAAAAAATCCCTCTCCATCTTTTTGTAAGCTCCCTTAGAGTACCAAAAGGTCACCCCACAGTCAACAACAAGGTCAACCCAACACCCCCAGGGGGACGGGACAGCTTTTTCAAAAGGGAAGAGATTAATCTGATGTCGCTACAGAGGTGGAAAGAAATTCTCAGGTCAAATTAGACACTCAGGTCAAATTAAGTGCCAAAGCAAAGCCCCAGCACAGGAGTGTCCCCATCACCTCCCGTGGCCCCTGGCGGGGGACGTGCCTCAGAGCAGCTGCAGCGGATGCAGTACATCAGCCCCTGGGGCTCCAGGTAGGGGTGCCAGCTCTCCCCGGGGCTGTACTTCTTGCCGTTGAAGTCGCAGAACGTATCCGGCCCTGAAAGTCAACCAGGAGAAGCCACATGAGAAAAGGAGATGGTCCTCACGAGACCTCCCCTCCCGCTGCGACGAGAACAGCAAGGACAGCCCTGTGCCTTCATGCTGCTCCCTGTGAGTAGCTGACAGCCACATTCCACACACCAAATCCCAGATGGAATACATTACCAAAAAACATTTTTTTAAAATTTTTCTGTAATGATTTGGTGGGGGGTGTTTATGCTGGGGCACATGTGCCCCAAATGGCAACTCCTTCAAGTAAGCTGGAGTCTCCTTGCAAGCAAGGAACAGAATGGGTGGTTTGGAGGCAAGAAAATTGAGATTTCACTCTAAAATAGGTAAGTAGAAATGCTCACTGGAAGATGGATGGGTGATAGTATAGGATGGAATTTCCCCCAGGGAGTGGTGACAGAGATAGGAGAGCCTAAATTTGGGAGACATTTTCACTGCTGCACAACAACAACAAAATAGAAGAAAGAAAAAAGGAAGACAATTTTGGGTAGAAACACATTCTGGAGGAAAATCTTTTGCTCCCTCTAAGAACTTCAGCTCATTCTCTCCAGGATCCCTGGACAAGCACTATCACCTCCCCAGCAGCCAGACACCTTCCCTAAGGAGCAGGACTGGGCTGGCTTGTCCCATCGCCTTGGCTTTACCTGGCATGGTGTAGCACTGATCTGACTGGAGTGACTGGTTTTTCATTTATGGGGCTGTCCATGGGGACAGCAAATCCACCTCATCCATTTTTTGCCCCCAAAAGCATAAACACATGTATTCTTTTTCTTCCTCCTTGATCCTGTTATCCTGAGAAGAGACAGTTTCCAGCTGTGCTCCTGAACAGGAAGTGTCTGTCCCAGAAATAATCCAGACCTGGCTGCACTGGCATGGATTTAACCTCTCCAGGGAGCAGGGAGAGCAATTAGATGGTGCCCAGCACAAGTGGTGAAGGAGGTGTCCCCCCACTCCCTGTATTTTAGCAGTTCCCTATAAACATCCTCCATCTCCAAGTCCTTGGTCATGCACCAATCCTTTGACAGGACCAAGCCCACCTGCAGCAGGAGCCTGTGGGACAAACTATGGCCAGAATCACCAACAAAAGCCCAGGACTTTGGCAAAAAAACCCAATTCAGTCATCCTTAATGTTACCATTCACAAGCATCATCACCTGGTCCTGCAGGACTGAGCTCCAACCCATGGGAATCTGGACCCTGTAACAGCCCTGCTGGCTGCCCCCACCCTCCTGTGACATGTCCCCAGGCCCTGACCAGGCAGAGGGTCACACTGGGACTCGAGTTGTTTCATGACTAAGCACACACATGCCCAGTGTGGTTTTAGTGATTTAAGCGCTCACAGCCCCACTGAAAACTGCAGGTGATTTTAAAGCTTATGTCATTGAGGGGATTTGAGGTAGTTTGGATGATGACGTTGCTCAAAGGCAGTGGAGACATTTATGCTCCCTGAAGCTTTTATGGGTCTTTTAAAACCTTACAGCACCCTGGGGATGTGGGAGAGGGCTGTTTTCCAAGGCACAGTGCCCAGCTCTGTGAACTCGGATGTTTACCCCGCTAGGCTGCTGGGAGGGCTCCTTGATGAACAGCAGAGGGTCCCCAAAATGATCACAATGGCGTTTACCACCTCAAAGATGCTAAAAGCCATCCTGTGCTCTGCTTTGTCACCTGGGGCCCAGCAGTGGTTTGGAGAGCCCAGATGGTGCTGTCCCACCTTGCCGAAGCTGGAGGAGTCACCTGCTTAATGGGTTTCTCCCACCAACCAGATAAAACTCATCCAAATACGCTTGGGGTGGGCTGCAGTCCTTCCTGCAGCTCCTGACCATCCTCAGGATGAAGCCAAGCGATGCTTTACCATGGCCAGAGCCTCTGGCCAGAAGGAAGGGCAGTCCTATGGGTCTGTGATGATCCCCACAAGTCTCTGCCAGTAGCCCTGAGCTCCTCATTGGTGGCTTCAAGCCTTTGATTCTCCAAGCAGTACCTCTGGACAGGAGCTGTCCAGACCTCCGTGTGCAAACACAGCTGTGTGGGGTCAGCGTTGCATCTCCAGAGATGGAGATTTGCAGTAATTTTGGAGTGGATGTCATCAGAGGCACAGGCAGAGGTATTTTCCTTCCTTTTCCTTACTCAGGACTTGACATCATCCTTTACATATCTTGCTCCAAACCCCTTGACAAGCCAGCAAACCCCTACTCCTGGCCACGCACAGCACAAGCTTACAGCATACTACACAAAACTGGTGAGCACGCAGCTGGCAAATGCAGAAATCTAGGAGAGGGGCGGGGGGGGGAAGAAACCACAAAAATAGTTTTGCAAAAGGGTGAGAAAATGACTTCATTTTTCCCCGCTTCCAGCATCTTCATGAATTACGCCGAGAGTGAAGAAATCGAGTTGCCTCCACGCGCTGTGGCCCCGCTCTGCTTTGCAGGCTCTCCTGCCAATTGGCTGCTCCGTGCGAACATTTAATCACCAGTGGAGCCCTGGTTTGGGTCCAGCCCTCGAAAGCAGCCTGATTCATGTCTGTGAAGGGGCTGCTGGTAAAATTAAAGCCAACTGGCAGCGCTGGGCAGCAGGAGACACTTGTCGGCATCTCTATTTGGCATAAGGTGCCTGCAATTTTGGGTAACAGCAAGCTGGGGATGGATGGATGGATGGATGGATGGATGGATGGATGGATGGATGGATGGATGGAGAAGGCTTAAGACCTGGAGGCTCTGGATCATTTTTTCCCATGCCAGGCTAATAATTTCATTTTCAGAGGTCAAACTTTGGATATCCTCCCAATTCATTCGGAGTGAAAAGCCACTTGTGCCAGTGAATTGCTCCCGTGCTGTTCAGTCACCCTATTTATTGAGTCTTCAGCAAGAGTATGCTTGGAAAAGTCATGCGAGTTTACTTCTCATGTGGAGTGCTTTGCAGCACCAAAAATCCAGGTGAAGTCATCACCTTGTTTTCCTTCTCAAGGACCTGGCCAGCCTGGTCCACACCAGCTTGGAGACACAACCAGAGCTTGCTGATTGAAAACTAGAAGCTCCATGCTTGGAAGTGGCCCTATGAGACCTGGAAGTGGGAGCAGAGGGTGGAAAGGGACAAGTTCCCCACTGCAAAAACCTCTGAGAGCAGGTGCCATCTAACCAGTTTCTCCTCAAATACAAAAAACTCCCATACAAGATCCTGGTCCTCAGATTTCCCTGATGGCTTCTATGGACCAGAAAAAAACCTGAAAGCCATGGAAGTGATTCCTCTGCTGCCCAGCAGCCAGTCCTGTGGCCTCAGGCCCAGAGGGAGGGTGGGAGATGCTCTGGAGAGTGACTCCTCCACAGGGGAGCTGCTCCACCTTGCCCACCCCAAAGAGCTCTGCCAGGGACATCCTGAAGGAAGGAGGTTCTCCCTTCCTTCCCATCCAACAGCTGCTTTCTGCCAAGGCTCCAGTGTTTTCTTGATTGGGGACCACCTGGTTACATCCAAATCATGGGATACCCCACCCACTGGCCTGGTCCTACTTGTGTCCATATTTACCTGCTGGAGACACCTCGGCCCTGCTGTCTCCAGGCATTTGGTAAAGCCCAGTTTGGCACCAGCCAAGACCTGTAGCA